TCGCCCTCTTTGGAGGCTACTGCTGTGTACATAATATTCTATTGTAATATGTGTGTACAAGTGCAGTATATTGTTGTCTGATCGGTAACATGTTTAATTTATATTTGTAGCTCGACAAAGTATCACACAGGGTGTTAAATATTTGTTGACAGAATACAACTCTTTGTTGCTAATCTGCTGTGACACTTAATCACTGTCTGTTTAATAGCTACTGTGCACTTATGTCTCTCACAAGATCCTGAGCTTCTTGAGGTCAGAGACTATGCTCCATTCATATCCCTCAAAGCACCTATAATGTGCAGGGTGGGAATCAGTACTCAGAAAATACTTGCTGGTTGGCAGAGTTCTTGGACAATTTAGGTGACCTAGGATATAGTTCTACCAGCTGGAAACGATCATCAAGGGCTAAAGGTCATGCCCATAGTCTAATCTTCAGGAGTCAAATGTCAGTTAGCTATACATATCTTTCAGATTCAGGTTATGGCATTTTCCAACCATCATTCATGACCCTTGAAACACTGACTGGTTATTAGGGCTTGTGTACATCAGGGCTTTTGGCCATCTAAATTCCATTTGCCTAACTGTAGTCAAGAGGCTGTAAACATGGACTAAAGACTCCTTAACCCAGAAATCTTCCAGTGTGAGAAATGGGGAAGAACTCCAGCTATATAGGGTTATTCTGACACACTGTTACATTGCTTCCTTTATTTCACTCGCCTGTTAAACTTTCCAGGTCCATACTACCTACTAATTAAGTACCAACTCCCATTTCAAGACCTGGCCCAATATAGACCCGATTTATCTTTACAGTCTTATTTACTAGAGTACGTGTGTGTGTGTGTGTGTGTGTGTGTGTGTGTGTGTGGATGGGGAGGTTATTTTCTCTAGTTGCATGATACTCAGCATACATCTCAACTTAGTGGAACTCAGAAACTTTTGAGGGTTTGACCCTTGTTAACATCCCATTGAACTTCTCTTTGTGAAATGCTGGTCTTGAGAAATAATTATTTTTAAGTAAGTCATTGAAAATAGTCTACATTTTCTAACAATCTCCAAGGTTTCACTACTATTAAATGCAAGCAATCTTGCCCTAATATTATGGGGTCATGGGACTGAGTTGGTGATTGAAGTAAATTCTCACATCTGGATTATTTTAACTCTGTAATGTAAAAATTATTTTAGTGTTTTCAGTCCTACATGGATATGTGGAATTAGGAACAGAGATCATGAAATTAGCATGTGGGATGGCCTCAGAGGCCTGTAGTGTTAATTTCAAGTTTTCAAGGGATTTAAATCCTAAGGATACACAAGATTCAAATACTGTACAGCAAAAATTATTGATGTACAGATAACAGTTACTGACTTTACATGTGCCAGTAAGTGCTAAGCTGTTTTATTGACCTCGGGAATACTGAAATATCAGAGGGGCGAAGGCCCTTAGGAGCGATCAGGGCTAGCAGCCGCCGCTTGCACCTGCTGATGGCACCGAGCAATCGGGACTGGCTCCAGGTGCTGGCAGTGGGTGCAAGTACTGGGCAGGACCATGGTGGGCAGGACTGTGGCACGCTGGAGCAAAGAATTTTTAGTAGCCACCAGAGGCTTGCCCCGATGACAGCGTCTAGCGTCGTGAGTCCCCCCCCCTTCCCCCTCCCCGCTCACCTGCTCAACCATCCCACTGTGTCAGACACCCACCTTGTTCCACGCTCTGCTGCCAATGTCTGCCATGTTCTGTGCCCTCTCTCCCCCCAGTGGTCAGTGCATGTCATAGCGACCTCTTGTTTGGCTGTTCCGCCATTTGGTCTATTTGCATATTAGCCTTTTATTATATAGGATTATAGTATCAGGTTTACTCATAATGGGAACATTCTTCTTCACAACTACCAAATAATTGATATATAACCTCTTGGGAGCACTAAACTGTAGTTTGAATTAGGATGACTTAGTTGCTTATGACCTAACTCAGACATCAAGAAGGGTTTAGCAATTAATGAAGTACTGCTGTGAGGTCCTGACTTCCTTTACCTTCTATAGTAAGGATCCTTGTACTAAACTAAATGACTAGTAATTGAGTAGCAGCAGATGAAGTTAGTGGCTTCCCCTTCTTCCCTGCTGCCCAGTGTCATTTATTCTTAACAAACAGAAACACACAAAAAGATGGTAGCAGAATTATATTGACATTCCCATATAATATGCTGTCTCTCTAAATGAAAGGGACACATTTTCCAAGTACTTAAAATGCTGAAGTAGGATTTGTTTCCTAAAAAGAATAAAGGAAGTCACATTGGAACATCAGTGAAGAAAGTATAGTTTTATTGTTGGACAGCTACTAGCTACAAACCAGCACTTGTACTTTGATGCTGGTGATGATTACCATCCAATCATGGCTTAAAGGAAGCATGGGAGAACTCCCGAGAAAGTCCTGGGGTTCCTGTTGGCGTGCTCCGCCCTGTTAGGTTACTTGGTTCATCGTAGCCAAAATGTGAAGGTATTTTTTACAAACTTGGTCCATACCTTATTATAATTCAAGTGATCTTTCTTCCCTTTGTTAAATAAAGCAGTGATTTAAATGGCTTTTAAGAAATAAGAAGCAAAATCAGAGAAGGCTTAGTTAAATATTGTACTACCTGCTCAGAGCAGATGCCTTCCAGAGCAGTGTTCCACTTAAGGAAATTTTCCTGGCAGGAACCTCAAGCTTTATCCACAAAGCAAAGATCCACGGCTTTCTTAGAATTAAAAACACTTGTGCATTTTTTTATTATAACAACTGTAAATGTTTGTCTTGTTTTAAAGGGTAGACACAGAATGTTGAGATTTGCTTGGAAGCAGCCAGAGAAACCCATTTCTCTAGATAGTTTCCCTCTAAAACCTGAATATAAAAACCACATTCTCATTGTGCCTAACTGCCCAAGGTGATGACCTAGGTCTCATTTTCTTTCAGCTAATTCTTAGAATTCAAGGAGATGAATTTTCAGTTTTATCACCATATGAATGCCATCATTTTCCTTCCCTAGATTTAAAAGTTTTGAGTTGTCTACCTGACTCTGGAATGCATGGACAGCCTTTCCTAGCTGCTCTGGGTTTTATTGGGGCCCTCAGAGCTCCATTGAACTCAGTGATGGAGGAAGGCACCTTGCTATTTGCCTGTACCTCATGATTCTGTTCCCTGTCAAAGATGAAAGTCATGGAAAACGCTCCTCCAAACCTATTAAATAATAATTTTACATTTAATTAATTTATGATATTGGAGGTTTCTTAAGAATAACCATGTCAGAAAAGCCAAGAATTGTCATAGTATCACAAACTATAAAATTACGTGAGGCCTGGTGCATGACTTCATGCAACAGTGGGGTCCCTTGGCCTGGCCTGTGGGATGGGGCCAAAACTGGCTCTCTGATATCCCCTATGGGGTCCCAGATTGTGAGAGGGCACAGGCCTGGCTGAGGGATCCCACTGGTACACAATCGGAGATGGGGAGGGACACAGGAGGTTGGCCAGCTCAGGAGGGACTGCAGGAGGGCCCCAGTGTGTGTCTGGCCTGCCTCGCTCATTCTTGATCAGGACCCCAACAGCAAGCTAACCTACTGGTTGGAGCATCTTCCCCCTGGTGGTCAGTGCATGTCATAGGAAATGGTCAACAGGTTGACTGTCTGCCCTTCTGGTGGTCTGTACATCATAGCAGGTAGTTTTAGTTTATCATTAGCATATTACGCTTTGATTGGTTGAAGGCTAACCAGACGATTGGACACTTAGCATATTAGGCTTTTATTATATAGGAATAGTGCATGAAATTTGTGCGTGGTGGGTGTCCCTAAGACCAGGACCCCTGGCTACTAACTGCTCACCTGCCTGATTGCCCCTAACCACTCTGCCTGCTGGCCTGATAACCCCAACTGCCCCCCCCCCTTTCAGGCCTGATCACACTAGCTGCCCCCCATGCTGGCCTGCTTGACCACAACTGCCACCCCTTCAAGCCTGATCATCCCTAACTGACCACCCCCGCTGGCCTGCTTGCCCACAACTGCTGGCCTGATCACCTCCAACTGCCCATCCTGCTGGCAAGCTCATCCCCAAATGCCCCCCCATGCTGGCCTACTGCCCCCAACTTCCCATCCTGCTGGCCAGCTCACCCCCAACTACCCGCCCTGCCAGCCTGCTCACCCCAACTCCCCATCCTGCTGGCCTTCTCATCCCTAACTAGCTCACCCCCAATTGCCCTCCCCTGCCTGCCTGATCACCCCTAACCGCCTCTGTCTCGACCCGCCACCATGGCTTTGTCCGGAAGGTCTCCCGGTCTAACTAGCATATTATCCTTTGATTAGTGTAGATTAGTGCAACACCTTAATTTTGTACACAAGGAAAATATTTACAAAGCAAGGCAGACTAATGGTTTGTTACTTTCAGAATGACTTCCTTTTCAGAGTTTTCCCCAGATGCAATTTCAGTCATATTTGAGTTATTAACATGCAAAACTGAATATTTAAAACGTGCATGTGTGATGGGGGAGCATGTAACTTGCTTTTAAACTTCTGTTCAGAGTTGAAATATGTGAAAATTGTTATCTAGAACCATGGTTTTACAATTTATCAAAGGAAATATAAATATAAATATAACAAAGATAAATCTAAATATGAGATTAATTTAAAAGTATTTGACCCCCTGCAGTATGATTGTAGTATCTTTATCTTAATGCTCTTCTGTTAGAATCTTCTAGAATCATTAAAAATATCTCTGAACCACTGGATCTGTTCTATTTAAACCAGGAAAGAAATTCATTATGCCTGTACTATATTTTTGCGCAAACGTAAGAATTTATCACTTTAAGCAGTGAAATGAATTTGGCCTCTGATCTTTTTGAAGTTGCAATATCATTCAGATCATGTTATCAGGATGCTGAGTTTCTCTTACGTTTTTTTCTCTTTCATTGCTACCTTCTGATGTGGCTGCTGTGTTGACAACCCTCTCTACTTCTGCTGTTGAAATGTTTTGTTTTCGTCATTAAGGAAACCTCCCAAGGTAAGCACTGATATGGAACGTGGCATGCATACTGACTAAGTGTGTAAAAACCCAGGATTTTATCCATTACAATAACCCATGTGGGACACCTGTCCCCTTGAGAAGAAAAATCATCTTTCTAATGTAAAACTTAAGTTGTGAACAAGCAATTAATGTTGGTAATGATATAAAACTAGACTGCTCCTCTACATTACCAAGCAGTTTCATACATTTTATTCTTGGTATTAATGCTGTGGTCCTGTCAGGTTACTGTTTCTATTTTTATAATGATGACAACCAAGAAAGTATCCCTGCTGCTCAGAGAGAGGACGTGGTATGGCCTAATTCCCAGACTGAGTAGATGGAGGAGCTTGGGCTATCTAGTATCACCACCTAGAAAATGTGAAGTCGAAATAGTAACATCATAGGATTGTAGTGTTAACTGTCATTATTGGCTGGACCAGTTGTCTTTTCTGTGTCCTCCTCAGAATAGCTGCTATCATCAGAAAAGTTCTCCAACCTTTTACATAGAGTTTCACCTATCTACCAGCTCTGTGTGTTCCACTGGAATTTCTAGCTATTCACAAAGTCCACTGGTAGGAGTCACCCCCCTTGCTCTGGCCAGCCTTTGACGTCATATTTGCCAGTGAGAAGCCCAAAAGTTAGAGAATAAGTGGGAAAAAAGAATATGAGAAGCAGGGGATCTGAATGACCAACTCCTGAATAATTGAAGGCTGATTTTGTTACCAGTGAGCACTTTATTGGGTATCAGAGGGATACTTAGTGCCAAAAGGAAGGAGAAACTCGACCAGCCCCTGACCAATGATGCTGGTTCTAGCTTTCATTTCTGAGATGCGATCAAGATAGGCTACACCTACACACATTATATTTCAGAATCTAAGATGGGTTGGGTGAGGGTCAGGAATCCAGAATAGATTAGGCATACTTGACTAGAGGGTGATGAGGGACAATATAATTTAGCTTCGGAGTAAGGAAACCCACCAAAATGATAAATTTACCCTTTATGTTTACTTACGGCAATATAAGAATTGTCTTTGGCACTAAGTGTTTCAACTCCAGCAAGGAAGGCACACATTGAACAAATAGCATCAGGCCTGTTAAGAAAGAGGAAATGCATGCGCTCATGGAAGTGTAAGCACTGGCATCCTGGCCAAATTTGGGTGGGGGAGAGGGGCGCAATTATTGATGTGGCTATAGTCCCTAAAATTCACAACCAAGGAAATATCTCTGCTGCTCAGTTCCCTTAAGTAGCTTTTCCTTCCCTTGCTGTTGGTTCCTAGACTGACAACCTTGTCATATATTTAATTCTTTCCCCACAGAAAAGGGTAATGAAATTGTAAGCAATTCCATATGTGGCTACTTAGTGAAGGAGAAACACTGAAATGAAAAAAGGCACAAGAGCACATTTTTTAAAAATCAGTCATTCTTTATACACAGAAATGTTCTGGTGCCTTTCTATTTAGTATATATAGCTTAGTGGTTTCATTAGGAATCTGTCCTACTGATAGTTTCTGAGAAGTATCATGAAATTTTCAGAATAAAACGAATGTTAAATCATGTTTATGTGTATGTGTGTGTGTGTGTATGTGTGTGTATGTGTGTGTGTGTGTGTGTTATGCCATAAAACATCTGTAAAGTATAAAGACCATCTTGAAATCAAATACATGACACAGAGTTAAATTGTTTAAAAAGACATTAAAATAGATAAGGCCTTTTCTTACAGAAGCTGTAAATATTGAAAGCAAATGGGAGAAGGAAAGATACTTTTAATGATGATTATATAAGAAAAATTTTTTATTGATTTAAAACAATGAGGTTTTTGTGAAAAAAGAAAAGAATTCTTACTATTCACAACAGCATGGCTAGACCTGGAGAGCATTATGCTAAGCAAAATAAGCCAGTTGGAGAAGATAAATATCACATGATCTCACTCATTTGTGGAATTATAATGAACAACATAAACTGATGAATAAAAATAGATCCAGAGACATAGAAGCATTGAACCTCAGAAGGAAGGCGGGGAGGGGAATAAGAGATCAACCAAAGGATTTGTATGCTTGCATATAAGCAAAACCAATGGACACAGACAGTAGGGGAATGAGGGTATGTGCTGGGGGGTGGGAGTGGCCAGGGAGAGGTCAATGGGAAGAAAAGGAGACATATGTAATACTTTAAACAATAAAGATTTTAAATTAAAAATAATAATAAAACAATGAGATTTTGAAATAAATAATTAGCACAAGTAACAGAAAAGACTGTTGGTTCAATTGAACAAATAATTATTCTGGGTTTGAATCAGCCCTGATTGTAGCATTCTAATAGAGGTTAGGTAGAGAACATATATATACACAGTGTAATGAACTACAGGAGGTAATAATAATAATAATAAATAATAATAATACAGGAGGTTCATAGGGTACAACATCCTGTTCTGACTCCTGTATAATTGAAGACAACTGAGTGACAGAATATTAAAAACCTTTGCTTGAAGGCGCTGGAGAAATACCAAATTAGTAATTCGAGAGAAGATAGAAACTTAGAGAAGTTTACCTGGTGTTTGACTACATGCCTTTCAAATAAAAGCAACTAATCAGCAGAGCAGTGTTTTTGATAGCCTTGCAGGGCCTAGAGGACTTACGGGGACAAAAGTGTCAGGGTCTGCCAGAGTTGTTGTCCTTGGTAACCTACTTGTACTTTGGGCTGGCAAGGTGGGGTATAAAGGTGAAACAGAAGTAAACCAGTCCTCACATGCATTGCTGTGTGGTAGCAAGATCTTTGTGTAATCTAGGAAATCTCAAACATTGACATTGGATCAAAGTGATCCTAGAATGCAGGTCTCCTTAGGCACTTGGCAGAAGCAAATGTAATCCTAAATCTCTCTTTGAGAACTACTCAAAGTGGATCATAGACCTAAATACAAAGATGTAAATTATAAGCTTCTAGAAGATAAGATAGAAGAAATCTAGGAGATCTGAGGGTTGGTGATGACTTTTAGATACAACAATAAAAGCATGAACCATAAAATTAAAATTGATTAGTGTAATTTTGTTAAAACTCAAAACTTTTGCCCCACAAAGGCATTGTGAAGAGAATGAAAAGAAAACCACAGACCGGGAGAAAATATTTGAAAAACACATCTGATAAAGGAGTACTATCCCAAAACATACAAAGAACTCTTAAAACTCAACAGTAAGATAATGAACTGTCCAATTAAAAAATGGGCAAAAGACTTGAATAGCAAACTCACCAAAGATTTGCAAATGGCAAATTAACACATGAAAATCTTCAACTTTATATGTCATTAGGGAAGTGTACATTACACCAACAAGGAGATATCACTACACACTATTAGAATGTATAAAATCCAAAAACCTGACAGTACCAGAGCTGGCGAGGACGTGAAGTACAGGAATTCTCATTTGTTGCTGGTAATAATGAAAGGTGGCATGGTTTTTTGGAACATAACTTCGAAGTTTCTTACAATGCTAAACCTATTCTTACATATGAATGAATCATGCTTCTCAGTATTTACCAAATGAGTCGAAAACTTTGTCCACGCAAAAACCTGCCCTTGAGAGTTGATAAGCAACTTCATAATTGCCCCTAACTGGAAGCAATCAAGATGTCCTTCAGTACCACAAACTGTGGTACACTTTACAGTGGAATATTGTATAAGTTATCAAGACATGAAGGAAACTTAAATGCAGATTGCTAAGTGAAAAGAAGTGAGTCTGAAGAAGCTATATGATTCCAACTTATATGACACTCCGGAAATGGCAAAACTAAAAAGTTAGTGGTTTATCTGGGGCAATGCCTATAACCCATGGCAGCTACACAATGACTATTGAATGAATGAAGAAAGGAAATAAAGATCTACTAGAGCAGAAGGGCATTTGCCAGTTTAGCAGAAAGAAGGTTCAAGTCCAGCTATATTATTGGTCATCTCCACTGATGGACAGAGCCACTTTGCTGGAGACTGAGCCACAGGACACTCTCTGTCCTGATTCCATCATTATGATCTTTTTCCGCCTCCTCTTCTCCTCCTTTCTTCTTCTTTAAAAAAAAAAAAAATGCCCAAAGAGATTAACCAAAGAATTTGTGTGCATATATGCATAACCCACGGACACAAGCAATTGAATGGTGAAGGCCTGGGGTGGTAGGTGGGAATGGCTAGAAGGGGTCAATGGGAGGAAAAAGGGACATATGTAATACTTTCAACAATAAAGATGTTTAAAAATATTTTTAAAAATAAAGAAGACCCAAATGCCTGGCTAGTCCACGATGCTGATGCTCTTCTCTGGCCTAACTCCAAAGGGGAAGTGCCCACTGGACCTTCAAATATCACCACCAACTTTCTTGTCATTAATTTGTGTTTTCTTGAGGAGTATCTTTTTCATGTAGTCTGTATTTGAGCAACTGTTGGAGGATTATGTGATGAGGGTAAATAATAATCACCTACCTGCAATATTATGTATAAGGCTTTTATGCATTTTACTAAGAAATGTTTGAGATGGTAGTGCTGATTAAGAGAAAGGAGGGGATTTTTTTTAAATATTTGGTTGAGTTGTCACTATCCATACCCTCCTGTTATGTAGAGAGGTCTAACAGGTTTTTTTTTAGTTATGAAAAAAAATAAAGTCATCAGATTAACAGAATAAAGAAAGAAAACCATGTGCTCATTTCAGTATATATGCAGATAAAAAAGTATTAAAAAAAATTCCACACTTATGATACAAACTTGCAGCAAACTAGTAGTAGAAACTTCCTCAACATGATAAATGGCATCCGTTAAAAATCTACAGCTGTCATCATACTTAATTTTAAAAGACTGAACACTTTTCACCTCAAATGGGGAATACGGCAAGGTTAATGCTCTAGCCACTTTTATTCATTATTGACTGGAGTTCCTAACCAGTGCCATAAAGAAAAAGGGGAAAAAAAATAAAAGAAATTCAGATTGGAAAGTAGGACCAAAAAATATATATATATATTTATATACA